AGACGATTCTATTTCACGAATGGCTCGTTCACCAGGTAGGCGAAAAAAAATCGTATGCAAGGTCGGAACGGCGTCAAACAACTACAACGGCTCCGATCCAGTCCGACTTTGATCATTTTTCATTTTCCATTTGTAGATTTTGCATTTTTTCATTTTCCGGGTGGGAGCGTAAAGTCAGGATGCAGACACAGAACGTCCTTTGTTGGTGAGGGAGGCAGCCGGAAATCGTGGGTGCGGGGGAGTCTTTCTTGCTTTCGGGGTTAGGTGTGGGCGTGCGTACATCAACTTCAGGGGGAGCCTCATTCTCAGAATCAGTCACATTCTCGTTTGTCGCAGGCAAATAATCTTAACAGCTAGTCGAGAAAGACGGGTCCAAGGTCTCAGGATGACCTGGCCAGTTGCTTGAATGGAGTGCCCACCGGCTTAGGTTTAAGTTGGCTACCCGTTCGGCAAGACGGTCCCTTTCTGACGTTACACTCATTGGTGCCATGAACAAAGAGGATTTTTTTAAAAACCCATAGCCGATAAAGACCTACTCTAGGCACCATGGCATTTACGAGCAATTTCTAGAAAAGTGACCACATACAAAAAAACGGCACCTAAGCATTTTTTTGCTCCATAGTTATAGTTACAATAGTTTTGCGACTACCGCGAAGCTTCAGCCGACTCTAATTCGCGTACTTTAATCCAACATGGCCTACGAATCGTCAAAACTATCAAACTAGACTAGAGGCAAAGCAAAGCAGAAGAAAGCAAAAAAACCGACATGGGTCTCTTATTTAGATGCCACTCCAACGCCACTCCATAACTTACGCGAGTGGGCGAGCTGAAACGAAAAGGACCATAGTGTGTCTTAAACCTGTTGAACCTTATTCAATCTCTAGCTATGCTACTGGATACGCACTTCCCTATATGCATTCCAAAAACAATAGATCTGTTCAATGAAAGCGCTCCTCTAACGAACTTCAAGCTAAAATTTAACAGGAAAACTCTCAGAAGTGGCTCAGATCGTGGATTGTGTCTGTGGCAGTCTTTATCCGTTATCGTTAGCACGAGCAAACTCGATAACTTACGCGAGTATCGATATTGCGGGAGTACATCTCCAACACACACTCTTTCTCGCCTAACAACTTCGACAACTTCGTTCTGGCGGGAATAACCTCGGACGAAACGAAATTTAACTCGATCCTAGCGTCAATTGGGTGTTGGGTGTTGGCCCGAATTGCCGATTCAACCAACCACGCACAGGAAAGTACGAAAATTTGAAGTCGTGAATTCTGGAAAGCTTCTGCGAAAGCGAACAAAAGAAAATCCATAAGTTAATAACGGAGCCCGACCTTGGTGACAAGCGCCCCGCACAACTGCTCAACGAGTAAAATGCACTCGCCACAAACAAAGTTTACGAATCTTTCTTGAAAGCACTGTGGCTGCAGCGCTTACCAACACAAGTTCAAGCGATCTTGCAAACATCGGACGCCAGCCTAGCAAACTTAGCTAAGTTGGCAGACAAAGTGATGGCAGTCGGTGATTTTCATCAGGTACGCACCGTCGAACCCAAGTCGGCGCCAACCAGCAGCGCCGTTTTCGACGATTGAACAATAAATCAACGCGCTGTTCAAAAACCGTTCTTGCAAGAACAGCTTGCGAACCGATCGCAACAGTGTCATAACTGCAGACATGTGTTGGTACCGCAGTGTTGGTTTGGCAACGCCGCCAAAAAATGTCGCCAACCATGCTTTTTTTCATCCGAACCAAAAAACTAAAACAGTCTTCGGTTTCGGCAGACAAATACGAAGAACACCACAACACAATTGCCCGCCTCGCCATCAACGACAATTTCTCCAAAACGCAGTTTCTCATCGACACCGGCGCCGCCATTTCAGTGATGCCACCCTGCAAAAACGCAAAAACTATGCTCACTCCAAAGCTTCTTTCCCCGCCAATGGCACGAAAATACAAACCTATGGAGAAAAACGCATAGCATTGTCACTGGGATTGCGACGAAACTTCGTTTGAACCTTCGTGATAGCTGACGTCAACTGCGCTATCACTAGATCCGATTTTCTTCAACATTTCCACTTACTAATCGATATGATATGACGCAAATTCATCGATCGAACTACGCTGCTCGAAACAAAATGTCACGCGCTTCAACGGAAAATCAACGCAATTTTATCCTACGACACGATTAACCAATAAGCTAGATTGCTTCACGAATATCGCGATCTCGCAACGATCAACTCGAATCGGCTGCCAGCAACATCCAACGGCCCGCCTACTCTAGCTCGCGCCCGACAAACACAAAGCTGGACAATCCGAGTTCTCCTACCTCATCGAGAAAGAAATATGCCGTCCCTTAAATAGCAACTGGTCCACCCCATTTACCTGGTAAAGAAAGCAAATGAAGGGTGGCGACCGTGTGGCGACTACTGAGTAATGAACAACGTAACAGTGCCGGATCAATATCAGATTCCGTACATACTGGATGTAACGAGGTAAGAAAATATTTTCGAAAATCAACCTGCAAAAAAGCGTATCACCATATTCCTGTCGAACCACAAGATATTTCCAAAAAAGCAATTATCACGCCTTTTGGGCTATTCGAATTATCCAAGGCAATAAAAAGTACGACAAAACCCCGATTCTTTGGTCTACAGAAGCCGACCACGCATTCACCGCCTGCAAGAACGAGCTCGTAAACTAGAGGTCTGAAGGAATACATTCTTATTGCCTCAGCCATAGAATACATTCGAATGGAATAGAATGAATGAGTGCAAGAGACACAACAAATTGAGTGAGAAGGAGTGAGAGAGTAAGAGAGCATTATAACTCATGGGCATTCTGTTGCTTTGAAATTAAGTGAATTGGGGTGGGAAGTAAGAAGAGTGCTTTTGGAATGAGGAATGCAGCCGAATGTTTTTAACACACTCTATGCATTCATTTATTTTCTTTTGTTGACCAAAACGCTTCTTTAATACTTCTTTAATAATGAAGGAATTGACCGAAAGTTGAATTATTTTATGAAAATGAATCTTAAATCTTCTTTAATTATTTATTAAATCTTTCATAATTTATTAAATTAATTAATTAAATAATTATTATTATAATTTAATTATTATGAAAGTGTTTTTTTACTTATGGTTTTTAACTGTTTTTATTATTTTCTTAGTTTTTTTTGTTTATTTTTTTAAGTTTTTCCAAATTAAATTATTTTACAACATTTTTTTAGCGGCAAAATTTCGCTGGGAAATTGTTTATTAATAAATATGGAAATTATTTTTATATTCTTATAATTAAAACTAGCAGTACCCTGCCACGTTTCGCTGTGGCATATTGTGGTTGCACGCATAAGAAATAAGTCAAACAAAAAAGAATAATTTTCAAATTCATTTAATTCTGTAATACTTGTGGGTATACAATATTCTTTGTTTCTCCATTCTCCGCGTAAATATAAAGATTATTTGGTTTTCCGACACGGGAACACGCAACATATAATTGTCCGTGTGAAAAACAATCTTCATCCAAATCCAAACCACAAAACTCCAGAGATTGACCTTGGGCTTTATTTATGGTCATTGCGAACGCCAAACGAATGGGAAACTGCAATCTCTTGAACTGGAACGGTGTATCAGTCGGGAACATAGGAATCCTAGGAATGAGGACATCTTCACGTAATGTTTAATTTCGTAATGTTGGATTGACTGGGATTGACATATGACTGGAGATCATGACTGTTGTAATTCTGCTAACGGCGCAAATCCACATCAAATGTTGCAGTCGTAGTTCAGGCAGGTGCTGGCATTCCCAATTGACTTAGCACTTTATTTGCAATAGCTAAGCACTTGTCTTCAATCCTTATCCCTAAGTTTCATTGTAAATTTCTTCTGTCAACTCCATGGTCATGTCAGAATTTTCTAGACGTACTCTGTGCAAAATATCCTCAGCCATATGCGAACGATATCTTTCCCATAACTCTGTTGGAGATGAAGGGAAGCAAGCAGTCAATATGATTGCAAACAATGAGCAAATTTGGTGCGGATGTGCCGTGTTGCACGCATGATGAATGCAGTGTCACTGCTTGGCCGATCACGGGAATGCCTTATAACACTCAGATAGGACAGTTGTTGAAGTGATGTGGTGTGTAACGAGCGTTTTATTCTACAAGACAATTGTTCTTAACCTGATACATAATTATGTAATAACATAATTATAATTACTTATCCTACATACCGCAGTTTCTCTTCCCCTTTCTGTGATGGCGCAAATCGATGTGCTTTATCCGCCAAATATTGTGCTCCTTTTTACCCGATTTTAGTGCGACCAAATAACCAAAACTAAATACTAGACTTCATAAAAATACTGACTTCATAAAAATCCTGACTATCGATAGCCTAATCCGTTCCGCGACATCCCCACCCCCGTGAAGCAGCCGCATTCACCACGTCCAGGACAGCTAGCTTCGAAGCGGGGCGCATAGTCGTCTTGGCTCGATCGGTAGTCCGCACCGCTGCTCGACGAGGTACTCCATCCTACCCGGTGAACACCGTCGTGGAAGACGCCTCGTTTCCATTCCCTTCGTGGTATGGCTGGATCGCAGATGAATACCAGGTCTCCTCGACGGATGGGCTCGACGCGCTTGCACCATTTCTCCCTGCGCACAAGAGTTGGCAGGTACTCATGCACCCAACGCTTCCAGAAGCGATCGCGCATCATCCTTGCTATGCGCCACTGCTTTCTAGTAGCGGATCTCACGGGCTTCTGTCCATCATCCTTGGGGAGATCTGGGATATCCGATGCTCCTTTCAGCAAATCGTTAGGCGTCAGTGGAGCCTCCTGGTCCACCGTCACCGGTAGATGAGAGAGCGGACGAGAGTTTACGATGCTCTCCGCCTCTATCAGCAGGTTCTCCAGTACATGCTCCTTGGGCGCGAGCTCCTTCATTGTGTGCGCCAGCACCTTCTTCACGCACTGCACCATCCTCTCCCAGGCACCTCCTTCAGCTAGGTTCGCCGGGCAGTTGAAGATCCATTCGACTCCCTTAGACGACAGCTCGCCCTGGATCTGTGCAGGCTGAACACTTCGCTGAACCTCTTGGCCTCGCGGTCGGCTCCAACGAAGTTCTTCCCATTGTCGCTCCTTATCCTGACCACTGGTCCACGGCGGGTCATGAAGTTCCTGATGGCGATTATGCAGGAGTCGGTGGACAAATCGTGAGCCATCTCCAAGTGGATAGCCCTCGTGGTCAGGCACGTAAACAGTGCCACCCACCTCTTCTCTGTGCGACGTCTAATTGTCACAAAGAGCGGCCCAAAGTAATCCAGGCCAGTAGACTTAAATAGCCATCCGTTGGCCTCTCGTCGATCCGCAAGCAGGGGGCCCATCTCGGGCTGTGTGGGTCGTGCCTTCCGCAGCTTGCAAACGTTGCATTTGCTCACCACCCTCCGTAGCAGTCTCCACAAGTTCGTTATCCAGAACTTGCTCCGAATCGATCCGATCATCGCCTCCGTGTTTTGGTGGCACATCTTTTCGTGGTGTTGCTGCACGATCATCTCTGCCAGCGCCTCCTCGTGAGACAGTATGATCGGCCGACGTGCGTTGTATGGCACACACGTCGCGTCGTCGATCCTTCCACTGGCTCTCAATACTCCGTCCTCGTCAAGGTATGGGGACAGTCCGTGCAGTCGGCTGTTCTTGGCGACGTTTCCTTGGCTGTCCTCAGCAAACACTTCTCGCTGCGACTGCCGTATCAATGCGCGCTCTGCTTCAGCGCACTCCATCGCGGTCAATCCGTAGACCTCTTCATCGCGACGTATTCCACGGCATCGTCGAACAAATCTGAGCGCCCACGCAGTCGTCCTCACCAGTCGATTATAGCTGGAGAACCTCTGCAGGGATATAAAGTTTACCGTGACCAAGGCAAACTCACATTTCATTTCCTCGTCGTCGGTCGTCGGAGGAATCCAGTCCTCGCTCGATCTCGGCCAGCTCTCCTCTGGTCCTCGTAGAAACGGCGGTCCGCTTAGCCATCGCGAACCGATGCTCAGGTCCACGGCCTTGCGCGGCCTTGTCGCGTCATCCGGCACGTTTTCGGCGGACGGGATCCATCTCCACTGGGACGCCTCTGTCGATTCCAAAATCTCCGCCACCCGGTTTCCGACAAACTGTTTGTATCTCCGGTGGGTGTTGCTTATCCAGTGCAACACAGTCTTGGAGTCCGTCCATAGCGCACAGTTGCTGATCGCCACACCGTGCTCCTGCTTGACGGTGTCCATCAATCTCGTGCCCAATACCGCTGCTTGGAGTTCCAGTCGCGGGATCGACATGGTCCTCATCGGGGCGCATTTCGTTTTGGAGCTTATGAAGTGCGCCTGCACGTCTCCGTTCTCGTACGTGGCCCGCCAGTAGGCCGCTGCTGCGAACGCCGATTGACTGGAGTCCACGAAGATGTGCAGCTGTAGCGTCCGCACTCGTCCGCCGCCAAAGTAGTGGCGCGGGCATCGGAACTCCTGGATCCGACTCATCCCTTGCCGCCAATCCTCGAAGGCTGCGGCCAATTCATCCGGTAGCGGCTCGTCCCAGTTGACTCCTCTCCGCCAAATCTCCCTCAGCAGCAGTTTGGCAGTCACCATGTAGCAGCTCAGGAACCCAATCGGGTCAAACGTAGACATCACCAAGCTTAGGAACTCCCTCTTGGTAGGGACTCGTTCCCCCGTCATCACGTTCCTCGGGACTCGATGGTACTTGACGCCGAACTTGAACTCATCGGTAGCCGGCTGCCAGTACATCCCAAGCACCTTCTCCTCAGCTTCGGTCCATCCGACGCTGGCGATGGACTCAAGTGGGTTCAGCGCTCTGACCACACTTGCCGAACTGGAGGTAAATCGGCACAAATCAAAACCTGCTTCAGCGTGAATTTCTCTCACCCGTGTCGAGATGGCGATAGCTTCGTCCTCGCTGGAGAAACTGTCGACGTAGTCATCCACGTAGTGGTATTCGTTGATGGCCAGGGCTGCTCGCGGGTCCGTGCTGCTATACCGCAAGGCATTCACGGTCTTCACGTAGTCCGCCGAACATGGTGAGCAGGCCGCTCCGAACGTCATTACTGCCATCTCGTATACGTCCGGCTCTCGCTGGTCGTCTCCGTCTCACCACAGAAACCTCTGGGCGCATCTGTCCTTCGGCTGCATCAGTACCTGATGAAACATCTCCTTGATGTCTGCACAAACTCCAACCGCTCCTTCTCGAAAATGGAAGAGCACTGCTGGGAGGGGCTTGTAGCGCTGTGGGCCTTTCAGTAGCGCTGAATTCAAAGACACACCGTCCACCTTGGCAGCCGCATCGAAAACCAGCCGGATTTTCCCAGGCTTGTTCGGGTTTTCCACTCCGAAGTGTGGCAGGTACCACACTTTGCCCTCCTGAAACCTCTGGACTTCCTGGGCCTCCAGTCGTCGTGCGTATCCCTTCTTGACATAATCGTCCATTATCCGGATGTAAGCCGACGCGAAGTCCACATCGTCACGGGTAGAATCCTGAACAGCAGGTGGCATCCAATTGAGTCAATGTTGAGGTTTCGGTGCGGCAACTCCTGGCGATCGTATGCCGATCGCCCTTCATCCCGCTCACGTCGCGCGTCTACAATTGCGGCCGACGTAGGATGGTTCCTTTCGCTGGAATCCACTGACCGTGGCACTCCCCTCCGATTGTTGCCGTCTCTGTACGGCTGTCGGTCCTGATCCCTCCTGTGGCCCCCATCTGCGACTGGCGGCCGTTTGGATCGTTCAGGTACTTCGTGGAGCAGGTGGTGATGCCTCATCTGGCATCCGAGGACGTTGCATCCGCGGCTCTTCCTGCAGAACCGGGACATGTGTCCGGGCTCCAGGCACGAGAAGCACAGTTGTCGCTTCCTCGCGGACTCGATCCGTGTCGTTGTAGAGGCGCTGATGAAGTCCTTGCATTCCCTGACCTGGTGCTGTCCCTCGCATATAGGGCAGCATCTGGGGCGGTCGACATATTGCTCCTCCTCGCGAACACTATTTGCGTGCAGAATCCTTCGCTTCGGTTGTTCCCTGGCTCCGGCGTCCGTGACAGTGCACACCAGTTTGGCGAATTCATGGAGCCACTCGCTCAGGTGCGCCACCGTCGGATACGGCTGTATCGTGGCCGCGTGCCTTCCGCAGTCCAACCTCTTGCTTAGCGGCAACTTGGCTATCAGCTCCTCCATTAGGGTTGGGTTGGCTAGGTGCTGGCTGCCGGTCGCGGTCGACTGCAGGAACGCTGACAGGTTGCTAACCTTCGTCGCGAACGGCACGATCCTCACGATGTTGGCCTCCTGAATCGGCTGCACTTCGCGCACGCTCTCCAATTGGCTGCGGATCAGTTGCTCCGGGCGTCCATACCGGAATCGTAGCTGCTCCATAACAGCTTGTACGTTGCTGGGATGGATGAGCAACGACTTCACTGTTTCGCGAGCCTCTCCCTTCAGGGCTTTCACTAGCCTCTGGTTGTTCTCCAACTCGGTGCACTGGTAGGCTGCAGTTGTCTCCGTGAACGCACACAGGAATATTGGCCATTCCTCTGGCTGACCCTCGAAATCGGGAAGATCAGGTAGTCTGCATGGCGTCCATCCTTGTATGCTTGTCGTCGGCGCTCCATATGATATGGGTGATGGCGCAGGTACCTCTGGGTGAACATAACCTAGCACCGGCTGTGCTGCGGCGGTCACACAAGATGGCGGAGAATAGCCCAGTATTGTTGTTGTTGACACAGATTGCCCGTTTGCCCAATGGCCGCCAAGCGTCGGCGCCAAATTCGCACTCCATTGTGGCGGCAAATTGCGTGGCGTCCATCCTTGTATGCTTGTCGTCGGCGCTCCATATGATATGGGCGATGGCGCAGGTACCTCTGGGTGAACATAACCTAGCACCGGCTGTGCTGCGGCGGTCACACAAGATGGCGGAGAATAGCCCAGTATTGTTGTTGTTGACACAGGTTGCCCGTTTGGCCGCCAAGCGTCGGCGCCAAATTCGCACTCCATTGTGGCGGCAACTGCAGCGATGGCGTCACTCCGAGATCCGTTTGCAGATTGTCCCTCATCTGCCTGGGCAGGTTTTCGCTCAAACTCTGCCGTGGCGCTGCTCCATGATGTGGCAGCGTTCCACTCGAACATGGCGGTGTATTCGCTGCACCGCTCACTCCAACGCCGCGTGCCCCGATTCCAACGGGATCTCTGGCGGCCTCTGCTTTTCCTCCACTTGCTCTTGCCTTCGCCAGCTCTGACTCCAGACGTGCGATCCTTTCCATTAAGGTCGCCACCACAGTTGTGGAATCCGTAGTCTGCCCCGTCGCTTCGGGCTGCAGGTTACTTGCCGCTTTCCTGGCGGCTGTTCCACTTTCCTTCGGAGTCTGTGGCCTCTGCCGATCACCAGCCACACTCGCAGAGCTGGTCGCGGTGCCAGTTGCTGTGGCCGTGGTGGTCGCAGTTGCGGGAACGCCCGAGGCTTCCAGCCTGGGGCTCCGCCTGGGTGAGTGCTTCGTGGGCATCATCTTGCAGAGTGCGAATAAAAGAATTTGTCACCGCTTGGCCGATCACGGGAATGCCTTATAACACTCAGATAGGACAGTTGTTGAAGTGATGTGGTGTGTAACGAGCGTTTTATTCTACAAGACAATTGTTCTTAACCTGATACATAATTACTTATCCTACATACCGCAGTTTCTCTTCCCCTTTCTGTGATGGCGCAAATCGATGTGCTTTATCCGCCAAATATTGTGTTCCATTTTACCCGATTTTAGTGCGACCAAATAACCTAAACTAAATACTAGACTTCATAAAAATACTGACTTCATAAAAATCCTGACTATCGATAGCCTAATCCGTTCCGCGACATGCAGATATCCCACTGTTGGTCGTTCTCCAACAAATTTAATGCTTGGCACGCACTGCGGAAGGTGGCATGTGTGATGCCGTTGAGATTTGTCAAATCTGAAGGCAATCAGAGTTGTCGCAGGCGGATTCAGGACTCTTTCTTATACATTTCGTTCGGTGAAATAGACACGTTGACCATTCTCCAAATCGACTGCCAAGTGAACTACAGCTGGATAGCGTTCATGAATGGGGAACGAAAAAATTCGCCGTGCAGCTTCGTTGCTGCTTATGTATCTTCCAGCCTGGTATTGAGAGATTTCATTGACAACTCGTACTGCTGTCACCATTTTCTGCCTGAACACCAAAAACTGCCATATCGCTGCCATTATTCACGTACTTACAAATATATTTAATCGATTTCACGGAATTGCACTATTCTACGTTGATGTGCGCTTTGTATGATTTTGACAATAGGGGTGAGTATGGAACCACCGAACGATTGTCTACCTCAATATCACCAATTCTCATGTTTAACAATGCCGAAGTCCCGCCATCTTTAGACATATCCTATACAGAGGATATCCATCGTTCCCTGTTACGGTGTTGGCTGCAAATGCTCGAGGATATCGCTTGGAACACTTCCCGTCTACCATGCATGGTGAACTTGGGTTGAGGGTACCACATGGGCCATGGATCATGTTCTTGATGACAACTGCATGCAAATTCGTATCAACCTCGGCCCGTGGAATCTCAGCGCATATCACATCTTCGATTTCGTCTGGAGTAATTTTATCATATAGCCAGATTAGTATGTGCGCATGCGGCAATCCTCTCTTCTGTCATTCTACTGAATACATCCAGCACCGCACAGATCCAAAAACTCCATGTTTCACAATGAAATCCATCAGTGACTTGAGCTTTTGTCTGAAAACACGGGCTGTGATGTCATGCCTATCCGTAGACGATTGTCCAGGAAATAACAGCTGCACTATCTCGTCCCACGCTAGATGGCATGTGAAGGTGATAAATAAGTCTGGACGCCGTAGCAACGAACGTATGCCATGGCATCTTGAGCATATTCCTGCATGTGGCGTGGACTACCGATGTATGAGGATGGCAAAATCGTGAGTTTTCCAACGATTGTTGTGTTACGGTCATTCATCACAGCATCCCGTAAATGGGTATATTCCTCGGACCGAAGTTTCGTCTGATTCAATCGGAGGAACAGCAAACGTTCTGTTTCAATTTTGGCATACATATCGACAATGTACTGATGAAAAAACTGACGACATTTCAATATATGATTGTCATCGGTCCTCCGAACCATTAATCGGTATGAGTAAAAGTTCATCGCGCTGCACTTTTTATTCGTTTCTACACCATTGACTGGATCTACCATCCTCACATTGAAATCGAAACAACGGTGAGTTTCTGCGACGTTTACCAATCGATCGTTTCGTCGATGTAGAACAATATCTCGAGGTTGGAACTGATTCCCGACTATGACAATTGCCACTTCGTCTATAGTTGGAGCATTGTATCTCCTGATATGTTCTTCAGCAGGCGTTTTGTCTGCATGAATGACAATTTTATAAGTATCCGAAGGCATCATATCGATTGCTGTTTTGAACAAACGCACCAAATGGTTCCGTTCGTGAAAAAGCTTCTGCAGCTGCGAAATAATGGGCTTCTTCACCGAGGTATTGATTCCATAACGTGCATCGACTTCAGCTCCGTCATCACCAATAAAATACATTTGAAGAAATTTGTGTTCGCTGTCTGAGAACGGAAACAGGGAACCAGCTTTGTGATAGATTTGTCCTTTGATTTTAAAAGTTGGCATGAATTGCGCAGTTATAATTTCCGCACCAAATGACGTCATTTGGAAGCAAGAGTTGTATTTCCTAATGTTCGACAGGAAATGCTTCGATTCAGCAGTAGATCCAGCTAATAGAGAGTGCAGAGGCTCTGGTGGTTCGTTGTTGAATTTGAGAGTCTGACAGTGTGTGCAGACCTGATTCATCCGGCCAATAACGACATTGCGATTCGAGCTGTAATCAACAGTTGGATTATATCGGAATGCAAGACGATGCAAGACGATTGTATTGCAGGTTTCGATCTGTTGCAAGCTGTAAACGCGCTTCAGCTACCCTTGCCCTGTCGCATTCATTATTTTGAGACCGAATCAAATCGATTGCTGCAGAACGCGACTGCCTAACTCTCAATCGTGTTCGCTCAAGCCTA